GCCATGTCTTCTTTCTTCTTCCACAACCTACCCCAGTGTTCTTTGTGAGAATCTGGCTCCAGCATCTCTCAAAGTTCATGCATTTGGGGGTGGACTCCATCTCTTGTCTGTAAGTGAAGTATGTGACCTTGAACAGCTAAAGAGGAGACCAAGTATCCTCCCCATCGTGTTGAGTTCAAGGAAGAATGAACAACTAAATCCCCCAAGCTTGTGTGGGAACTACTGGAAAAATTTGCTCTCTCTTTTCTGTAGAAATTAACCCGGGGGACCTAGAACTGAACCTGCCCACCCATCACCAATCTGAGGGTGGAACTCATCTATGAGGGGGACCAACAGGGCAGAGGTTAGGACAGGAATGGAAAGAGGGGCCAGCCGTGCCGTCACCACGGGAGCCAAGGGCCCGAGGAGTCCGTGAAGCCAGAGCCACTGCCCCTGCCTCAGCGGTTCCCGGTGCTGAAAGATGGACTTGGCCTTCAAGCTGGGTCTACTGGCATTTTTCTCTCACATTGACCTCAAAAAGCCTAATGGATACGGCTTCTATCTTTATTTTGTATTATTATTCTTTGAAGCCTGCAGTGAACAAGAATTGTCTTTTTACTTATTTTCAAAGGTGGCTTAACTTAGCTTCTTTCTGTTCATTTTCTCATTTTTTATAGAAATGGATTTACACAAGAGTTCTTTACATTGGGTGCCTGAAAGGTTATTCATGAACCCTACCTTGCAACAAAATTGGTGACATTCTCAGCCAAGACTGGTTGTCCTGGTTTCAATTTTACATTCATTCCTGAAGATCTCTTCCTCTGTCCTTCCTAACAGAATCTCCTCTCTTTCCCTCCTTCTCCCTCCCTCCTTCCTACCTTCTTTATTAATTTCTCTCATCTTTTCTCCCTCCCTCCCTTCCTTTCTCCCCTCTTTACTTTCTTTCTCTGTCTCTGTTTCTTTTTTCCTTTCTTTCTCTCCCATAGATATCTATGAAATAAACACAATTGGTCAGACATGGAACGAGATGTTAAATACATACTGTTCAAAAATAAGGCAGCAAGAAAACATGCAAACCCCTCTCAACTGCCTGCCCCCCATAAATGAAACTGGCGGTCCCCAAGAGCTCTCAGCGTCTTAAATGCCAGCCATCACGTCCTAGTCCACTGGCAGCAAGCCATCTGCTTTAAAAACAATTAACACTCAGATTTACTTCCAGACACACTTGGTCTTTGCACATCTAGCCAAAGTTCAGTGGTGGGACACCACATCAGTCCAGCTGTGGCCTCGTTAGCTGTCCGGAATTTCTAACGCTCTGCTCTGTAATGCTCGGCTCCTGCCGCCCTGGTCGCTGTGTGACACGCACAGCACTCAGCTGTCAGCCCCGCCGTGCGGGTGATGTTGAGTGGAGTCCCTTGCAACACTCTTTAGACCACTGCTCCCTAGCCTTTGCAATTACAAGACTCAATTTATAATCAGCGCGCTCAGAACCACGAGGAATGATTCTAGGAGGCGCTGCCAAGAAGCTCTACTCAATCACACAGATGCCCTTCCATGTAGGATCCTGGGTCTCAGAACCACGCCTTCCAGCAGCCTTGGCAAGGCTACCACAACCAAGCGTTGCCCAGGCTAAGCTTTAACAGGGCTCTCCAGCAAACCTTTACTGCCCACCTGCTTCTTTGTGCCCTTTGTCAGCACACTTGAGTCCCTAGAGAGTGCAGTATGATTAAAAAGGGACGTAAATTCCTTACAGAAGTATATGTTTACCATTGACTCTTTGGCACACAGCATCCAAACAGAAAATATTACATAGTTAATGGCATACAAAACTTTCTCTGTCATCTCAGAAATACAGCAGCACACGAGAAAGCAAGTAAGGCCGTGCCAGTGTCGTGAACCTTAAATGTCCGTGTGCACTCAGTGGGTTACCGGTCACCAACAATGACGCGCAACGTGACAGGTGACAATGGCAACCTCATAATGGATCATGTGAGGGGGCCTGACTTTCCGCTGGGAGAACAGAGCATCTGATACTACGGAGAGGCATTTTGTGTTATCCTAAATATCACTACAGCGTCACCATTTTGAAAGATGTCATGTTTCATTTTTTTAATTTGCATTCTTTTTTACTGAAGTAGAGTCAGTTTATGATGTTTGTCAATTTCTGGTGCACAGCACAATGTCTCAGTCATACATACACATACATATATTCCTCTTCATATTCTTTTTCATTGCAGTTACTACAAGATATTGAACGTAGACGTCCCTGTGCGGTACAGTAGGACTTTGCTGTCTATTTTGTATGTAGTAGTTAGTATCTGCAAATCCGTACCCCCATTTATCCCTGGTAAAACTACACCCCCCTTTCTCCCCAGTCCTTCCTCCTAGTTAGTATCTGCAAATCCGTACCCCCATTTATCCCTGGTAAAACTACACCCCCCTTTCTCCCCAGTCCTTCCTCCTAGTTAGTATCTGCAAATCCGTACCCCCATTTATCCCTGGTAAAACTACACCCCCCTTTCTCCCCAGTCCTTCCTCCTAGTTAGTATCTGCAAATCCGTACCCCCATTTATCCCTGGTAAAACTACACCCCCCTTTCTCCCCAGTCCTTCCTCCTCCCAGGCCCTGCCCCTTCCCCGCTTCCCAGTCTCCCACTCTCTCTCTTTCCCCCAGACCCCAAGCTGAGTAATAGCTGTAACGCTTTAAGACAGTATTTCTGTCAATTAACGACACCAAGTGATTTCTTCAGTTTGGGGCGCTGTTCACGATCCTGCCCTTTCACAGGAAAAACAAAGTCCCATGAAGTCCTCTGACATTTGACCCCGCTGCTCAGGAGGAGGAGGTGCACGAGCAGGGCCTGGCCACTCAGTGCCTCTCCCGCTGGTGAAGGAGATGCCCTGGGACACAGACGGTCGCTCCACCCCCTGAAGAAGTCCCCCCACGACAAGCCATGGCCATCAGTCTAGGAAGCACTCAGCAGCCCAGACTCGGAGGGACTCCACCGCCGAGGGGCCTGTTAGTAAGGACGCTGCGCTCAGCACGCGGAATTACGGAGCAACGTACAGCCAGGGCTGTGCGGCTACCAGCTAGCACCCCTGTCAGCCCCAGCTTACGAAGAAGCCACAGAGAAGGGCGGGTGGGGACACTTCCACCCTCTTCCAGGTTCTCTGGCTTGGCTAATTATTAAGTTGACATAAGATGGATTAACAGGAGAAAAATTTAATTTTGTACATACAGGAGACCCAAAGAAGTAATCAGAGCAGATAGTTTCTATACCATTCAGACAAAGAAACAGTACATTTGTAAGGAATTGAGAAAAGCACAGGTGTGTGGGTGTGGGGCAGCTGATCAGTGAGGAAGGCTGGTTCGTGCAGCCTTCTCGGCCCCGCGTCCTGTCTCTCTGTCCTGGCTCAGGGAGGGCACCGCTCAGGGGGAGATCTATTTCCTGCTTTCAGGAGGACAGAGGAGGGCCGAGTGTAGCTTCTTGAGTAATTGTAATTAAAAATAATCAACACGCCCAAGTGGAAGGTTTGGAGGTGCATATTTTACTCACCTGCAGAAACATTCTGCACACATTCAAAAGCAGCTGTTTTCTTAATAAAAATGCTTCTGTGCTCTTAGAAATCCTTTGTTGAATGCTAGATTTAGATTTTTTTCCCTCCAAATCCTTTAATAGAGGTATAAGTCAGATGAGAATTTCCCCTTAATATGTTTTCCTCTCTAATAAATAGGCAAAATAAATCATAACACTGTTCTTTTCAATTCTCAAATACTATATTACTCTTATATATGTTTATAAGTGTTGGGTAATTTTGATCATGTCTCTTGTCTGTACGATTTTGAGAAATCCCATTGTGTGTGTGGGCTTAACACCTAATATCCTTGCAATTGTAGTTACAACAAAATACGATTTCTCTAGAAATGCTTGGTGCTTCCCCCTGCGTGACCGGATTACTGAGGACCTTGAGTCCCGTGCCAAGGACATGCCAAGGACTGGGGACCCGGAGGCCGTCTGAGCAGAAGCACGTGATGTTCTGAGTTAGAGTTTGGGGGAACTTAAGTGCGGAAGAGTCTGGAGGAAGCAGTGACTGCAGACACCAGATGGCAAAGGGACCGATGCTTAAGAGTGGGGGGCGGGAGGGCACACTGCTATCTGTATGATGTTGAAGGAAGAGGTGGGAAGCAATAGAGTCTCACCAAACTGGGTGGAAAAATCAGAGAAAGAAGTGTGCACGTGCGTGTGTGTGCGTGTGCCCAAGGACTCTGCCACCTTTAGTATCTCTGAGGGCAACAGCGGGGAGCTGGGCGCAGTGAGCACAGAACCACACCAAGAGCAGAGGGAGGCGGAGGCGCGCTGGGACTGCGGCAGCAGCTTCGCACGTGGACAGCGACGCCGCCATCGCATCTACTGACACCTTCAGTCAACGTCCACACACAGCACAGCTCCCCACGCTCACTGGTGCCTCGGCTTTCTCAGCGATATTTCAAATTTCTGCTTATTTGAGCGCAGCCATACACACTTGCTTCCCTGAAAAGACCTCCTAGAGTAAATGTTAAAAGGGAGACTAACGATCTGTGTTGAACTGGGACCAGGAATTCGAGGCAAGGCGGGGTCCCAGCACGTCCCCCAGCGCCATGCTGGTGCCTTGGTGCCCGCACGCGCGCCAGGCGCTCGGAGTCCAATTCATACATCACGCTAAGTGCCGCACCGAGGCAGGCGTTCTTCAAATTAAGCACAAACGAGCTATAAATGGAACGCTGAGAAGCTGCCCTCGTGTTCAGGTAGACTGAAAATATTGCCTCTGAGGGACATATGCACGGCTTTTCAAAGCAATCACGGCTTGATATTGCGTTATTTCCTTTAAGTCTTTCTAATCTTTCCTGAAACAAACCAAAAACATAATTATAGTACAGACCAGCCTTCGGGTGTGTTATATACAATATAACACTCACTGTGAGAGCCACTGAGACAACAAAGGTGAGTGAGATGTTCTTTCTTTATGAGGATTTTGAGGGTATGGAGAGGTCCACAGCCTCACTGGCTCTGAGGCTCAGGGAATGGGCCAGCGGGTGATGGAGCAGAAGGCATTTCAGGCAGGTAACATGGCAGGTGGTCAAGATGCCCTCACTGTTCTCCTCGGCTAAACTGAACTTCAGACGGACGTCTTCCTAAATCCAGACCTCTCCCCCACCCCTCCTCCGGTTTTTCAAAGAGCATTAATGTTTAAAATTCATTGCAGTTTTTCCCCTGCTCCTTTGAGATGCATGTAAATCTTTTTAAAGAGTCTCTTGCCAAGTTTACAATCCAGAACCCCCTTTCCCAAGGACTCTGGGGCCATCCCTCTGAAATGCAGGCGTCAAACGACAGCTTCCCCTTCTCGGTCAGGAATAACTCAGGGAGCTGGGCACATCCCTTGGATCAAGCTCCCTCAGAGGTCCTCCACAGCTTTTCACGGGCTGCCCTCAGCACTTAAAAACCCTCCTGCCCTTTGTTTCAGGAGAGCTGAGTCCAGTATCTGTCCCCATTGGATGAAGTCTTCCTGCCTGTTTAATCTGCCCAGGGCAATTGTTCTGTGACATGAGTACAAAGGACTGAAGGCAGGGGAAAGCCTGGTGGACTCGGGCACCTAGAAAGCGATGGAGATGCGAGGTCTGTGGGCTCGGCTGGGTGGGGGCAGGTCAGAGCGGTCCTGCCACCTAACACAAGGGTTGTGTGGTTTTCTTAAGTGGTTTACATCTTAGCCTGTAAGCCAAGGCAGGCTGTCAGGTAGTCCTAAAGAGAGAAGTGACAGATCCAGTTTTGTTAGGAAAACCTTCTGTCCACATGCACTGGCCTAGAAGGCCAGGACTGAGGGTGAGCACAGAGGCCACTGGAGGGGATGGGAGACGAGATGAGTGGAGACGCTGGAAACTGAAGCTCAGGGCAGGAGATCTACCGAAATCCACCCAATTAGGACAGATCTTGCTGAAGGAGGTGAAGTTTCACCCCTTAGAATGTATGTTAAGGGTTGACTTACTTTAAAATTGTTTCCAGTTTTGTTGCAATAATTTTACTGAGATAATGTTATAATTGAAACAAAACATTTTGTACATTTAAGGTGTACAAGGTGACAATCTGATACACATATATATGGGGAGAGAATTGCCACAAGGGATTTATTTAAAACACCCATCTAGGCGGTTTCCATGTTTTGGCTATTGTAAATAGTGCTGCTATGAACATTGGGTGTACAGCCCAAATGTCCATCAACAGGTGACTGGATAAAGAAGATGTGGTATATTTATACAATGGAATACTATTCAGCCATAAAAACCGACAACATAACGCCATTTGCAGCAACATGGATGCTCCTGGAGAATGTCATTCTAAGTGAAGTAAGCCAGAAGGAGAAAGGAAAATACCATATGAGATCGCTTGTATGTGGAATCTAAAAAACAAAAACAAAAACAAACAAACAAACAAAAAAAACCAAAGCATAAATACAGGACAGAAATAGACTCATAGACATAGAATACAGACTTGTGTTTGCCAGGGGGGCGGGGGGTAGGAAGGGATAGACTGAGATTTCAAAATTGTAGAACAGATAAACAAGATTATACTGTATAGCACAGGCAATCACAGAGGAAAAAAATGTGATAATGAGAGTGTATATGCCCATGTATGACTGAAAAATTGTGCTGAACACTAGAATTTGATACAACATTGTAAAATGATTATAAATCAATAAAAATGTTTAAAAAATACATAAAACACCCATCACTTCAGATAAATACCATCTCCTGTGGTGGTTGAGCTTTGAAAGTGATTTCTTAGAATAACTGCAAAGCACCTGACTAGGAAGCAGCAAAGGGGACACCTTGCATGAGTCCAGACAAAGTAAGTGTCCGCCTGACTGAGGTACATCCAGCACAGAGGAATCAAAGCGTCACTTCAAAGACTAAAATTTAAAAACCATCCCAATGCATTCTGAGACAGAGAAACAGACAGGCTGCAAGTTTATAAATGAGATACCACGACAAAATTATTTGCAGATAATAGGACTGCTCCCTCTGAAAGTCACCCACTACAAAAAGGTGTCCGTAGGTGTGAGAAGTGCAAAACAAAAGCACAAAATGAACAGCTTTCAGACGCATCAAGACCAATGGTTTATAAAATGTAAGAATACCCATCCACATAACAAGAAATTATAAACCACCAAGGGGAAAGCGTCTAATGACATTCTCTCATTGAGCTGAAGAAACTCCCACTGGAAGCTCGGGCGGAGCGCGCGGAAGGTCTGAGCAAGTGAGCACGTGCGCTGTCCCTGGAGGACAGTGCTCCCCGACGCATCTGTGAATTCAAAGTACTTCCCATCAAACTCTTACAGCACATTTGCAATAACTACAAAACTTTTCTGATTTTTAAAGGAGAAATTTTGTCAAAGAAGACAGACTTCTTGTTAAAGAGAGACTTTGTAGTAAAAAGCATAAAACTGAAACCTGTATCATACTTGTATTTGAAAGGGACATTTACTATCATCGGGGAGGGTGGGCAGGGTGCAGGGACACGAAAGGACAACAGATTATATGTGTGGAAACGGATTTTAAATAAAAAGTGATTCAAAAAACCGGCTAAAATATAAATTAAATATGGAGAAAAAAATACACCAATCATAGCATACTCAAATAATTTCCAGGAAAAAAATCTACTTTTAAAGGACTAGAAACTGACACGTATTAATATATTATGTAGTAGCCTGCTGATAAAGACCTCATTAGCAAAACTTCAAAACTAGAAGCTAGGAGGAAAAAGATTAATCACTTGGGCTGCATAAAATTATACATAATCTCTGTATATCCCAGATACCATACATAAGTGCAGAGATGAGGCTGGTGCTCAGACAGGGACCCCCCAGGAGGTGTGTGTCCCAGAGCGTCTCCCTCTGCCCTCCAAGTCCACTGTCCTGCCTGGTCCACCTGCCTCTGCACCTGCACACCTTCCTCCCTCAGCTCCCAGTCCTGTGGTTCCCAGGTGGTTTCCCAGTGAGAGGCTTGGGCAGGACAAGGCAGGCTGCTGAGGACTGGGGCCAGGGTGGCGAGCATCCCCACCATTTAGACTCCTTCCCTGCCAGGCCACTGGGGGGTGACAGCTGCTCCCCCTCCCTGGCCCCTTCCTTGCGGCCCCCACTCCCATCACAGCCCACAGCTCCTCATGGGTCCTCCTCCAGCCAGCCTCAGGGAACTTTCTGGACCGTGGGAGCATCTCCTTACTCCTGCAGCCCCCAGGGGCAACACTTCCCAACACTATGAGTCCTGGGCACCTGCCACCTGCACCACCCACCTCACCTAGCCCATCAGAAAGACCTCATCATGCAGCAACCTTCAATCAGTCACTGAGGAGCCCAGCTTGGCTTTGTTTGTTTGTCTGTCTTTTCCCCTGGGACCTTCATCCATTCAATACATGACGTATGTATACGCAAAAAAGATAAACATTTGAATCATAAAACACCAAGTGATAAAAAATGATGCAGCTGACCAGCTCATAAAAGGAATGATAAATCTATTAAGAAGCCTCTGAAAGATATTCAACTGTATTTACAGTCAAAGAAATGCACGCGAAACGTTGGGGTGTAATTTTACGCCTACTAGACGATACAGCCTCTTTTTAAAGGTCATTTGTGAGCACACGCACGGCCACCGGGCAGCACCAGACTTCAAGTCGCTGCCTCGGGGTGTGTGAAGAGGTGAAGGCTCCTCGGAGAATCTGGCCCTACGCATCAAAGGCGTGCACATTCTGACCTGGGAATTCTATTTCTAGGAGTATACTCCAAGTTAAAAAAAAGTGACAACATGCAAAGAGATCTGTGCAAAGATGTTCTTTCCAGCATTATATAGATTTATGCATGTAGAAAACCACCCAAATACTCAACAAACTTGAATTGTTAAAAAAATTACATATCCAGTTATAAAAATGGCACACACTCTCAATCACACACACACACACTTCACTGATGTGTCTAATTTTTTTCTACTCTTAAAAAGAAGTTTGGGAAAAATGTGTGAAAATGATAATAGTAATTATCTTTAGATGGCATAAAATTAAATTTTTTTCTAATAAATTATATACTTCAATTTTCTGTAAAGTTATTTTTAATACAGAGAGGAAGATTAAAAATGAACACTCTCTATCTTAGATTGCATTCCCCAGAAATACATCCTGGACAGCTATCCCCACGAACATGGTTTTCAAGAAATGTTCTCCGATAAAACCACTTGGCTTGGATGGAGGAAAGGAGGCCAGGCCTCCTGCAGTATCCAGTCACACCCCACAGAGGTTATCTCTGGCTCAAAATCCCACAGGGGGATGCTGGGGACAGTGACACCTCAGAATAGTCCAGACTGAATGCCCAGGGGGCGAGGCTAAGGCCCCACAGATGCCAGTCACCCTTGGACTGGCTGGTTTCAGGTCTCAGACCAGGACTGGTGGGAGGGGCCACGGGGAGGTGGACACAGGACTGGGGGGCAGGGCGGGATGGCGGGGCGGGGGTGGGGGTGGAGCAGGGAGGTGGCTCAGAAATCAACGTTAGTTCTCAGCATTAACATATTGTATCCACATTTTGAACTAGACAAGTAGGTACCACACTATCTGAAATCTCTTGATTGTGACTTAAAAACCAGCCTCCTTTGCATGCATGGGAGTAGGGGAGTAAGGGAAATCTCTCTAACCTTTTCTCTGTTTTGTTGTCAACCTAAAACTACTCTAGAATACACACTAATGTGTATAAAATAGATAACCAGCAAAGACCTCCTGAAGCACACGGGGGACCGTGTTCAGTTGCTTGCAACAACGTATAATGGGAAAGAATCTGAAAAAACATACACATATATGTACGTGTAGCTGAACCACTTCCCTGACACCTGAAATTAACACTGTAAACCAACTGTGCTTCAATTAAAACGTGTGTCTTTTTCCTTTTTTAAATCAGCCTCCTTTCCTTAGTTTTATCCCAAGTTGTTCATGAGGAGCAAAACTGTTTGAGTTGTCTTACGTCCTTAATGTCTCAAGTTCACCATTTGACAGCTCCTTAAATAAAAAGCAAAAGGCATGAATTAAAAAATCTGTAGTTATAAACCCATGAGGAAAAAAAAAAAAAAACGGCAGCCCACGTGTCATCCGTCTCCCCTTAAACAAATGCCTCGTCCCAGCCAGTCTGTGCTCTGTCCCCAGCCCAGTTCATCTCCCAGCTCCTCCTGACTGTAACCACCTTGGGGCTGAGATATTATGTGGCAGCTTTTCCAAGTCATCTTCAATTTCAAAACAAAATGTGAAGTCGCACAGACCAAGGGCACAGAGGCGGAGGGGGCGAGCCGCAAACCCTCTGCCTGAACCCGACACCTGGCAGGAGCCGAGGGCGAAGCATGGGCTCTTTCCTGGTCGTGTCTCAGCCAGGCAGCCCTTAATGGACCTCAGAGCATCTGAAGCCTTTTTTTTTTGTATTTTTTTTAATGGAAAGGAGACCTTAAGGCAATTCTGAGGGAATGCAATTACCAGGATAGAAATAAATCTTCTCCCACTAATTCACTCCTTATCTCAATCGTCCTGGGAGGTGCGGATGTGTACCTTGCCAAATTCAGGGTTCTGAAACCCAGCTCAGTCTGCACGGAGGTCCACAGCTCGCCTAACGAGGCAGGGCTGCCCCCTGACACAAGTTAACCTGAACTGCCCACCATTCGGCATCAGGTGTGGAAAAAATGCAGAAACCACGTGAGCCAAAATAGGAGAAAAAGGGGAAATTTAAAAAAAGAGCGTTTAAAAAATCTGGGATTAAAACTGGAGAACGGAGCTACTCTCTTCTAGGGCATGGGGCACAGTGATCTGTTCCGCTCACCTAGACTTGGCAAGGCCAGGAGAGTCTGTGACTTCACACACTGGGGTCTATCGCCAGACAGTTTTCCTACTGCCACTCAGGGTAATTTCTCCTTTTTGGTTTTATTTTGTCATCTCTTCCTCCCCCATTTCCTGAGTCCACAATTGAAGCAGGATTCTGCATTTGGTTTCCTCAGTCTGGACCATCATGGAAAATCATGTTTGCAAAGAGCACGGATGCATGGAGGCCCATCCCCAGCATGAGCTCGCTGATACAAGGGAATGCCATCAGTCCATACACGGTTCTAGGAAGACGGAGAGGAATCTCAGAATCTCAGAATCTCAGAAAGGGCAGTGGCACAAAGGAACTCATTTAGATCCCTTGGGCTGAAATACAAGATGCTCATTTTGCATCAGAGTCGAGCTGGCCTGAGCGAACGCTCTCTCATCTCCCTCCCCTGCACGGATGCAGCCGGGACTCAAGTCACTGACTCGCCCTTTCCTTCCAACCAGACGTCTAACTCGGAACGGCCACAATGCATGCATGTGGGGTTACCTG